ACCAACGTAAAATGGTGGGATAGGCAAGATGACTGTGACAGACACTCCTGTCCCAACAGGTAGGGAACAGGAGACATACAGCAATCATTGGTCCACAGCAATTCTTTTTTTTTTTTGACAGACAGAGTTAGACAGTGAAAGAGAGAGACAGAGAGAAAAGTCTTCCTTTTCTGTTGGTTTACCCCCCAAAATGGCTGCTATGGCTGGCGCACTGCACCAATCCGAAGCCAGGAGCCAGGAGCCAGGAGCTTCCTTCTGGTCTTCCATATGGGTGCAGGGCCCAAGCACTTGGGCCATCCTCCACTGCCTGCCCAGGCCACAGCAGAGAGCTGGACTGGAAGGGGAGCTACCGGGACAGAACCCGGTGCCCCAACTGGGACTAGAACCCGGGGTGCCAGCGCCGCAGGCAGAGGATTAGCCTAGTGAGCCGAGGAGCCAGCCTGCTCCACAGCAATTCTGATACCCACGTGGGCACAGGTTTGCAGTTTACATTCCAAGTCTGGGAATAGTTCTCGATGGCTTTTGGCTCCAACCCCTGGGCTTTTGGGTTCATCTTCTGTGAAGAACAGATTCTACTTTGATCTTAGCCAAAAGGCCAAGAAGCGATCAGCTTCATCTTGTAAGTCATTCTTTACCTAGGAAAGGTATCATGTGTTTGCAGGTAAATAGTTTTCTCAGGCTGCTTCCTGCTTATAGAAACGTGGGCATTTAAAAAAAAGATTTATATTATTTATTTGAAAGGCAGAGTTACAGAGTGAGATAGAGATAGGGATAGGGATAGGGATAGGGATAGGGATAGAGATAGAGATAGAGATAGATAGAGGGAGCACTTCCATCTGCAATTCATTCCCCAGATAACTGCAGTGACCAGTGTTGGGTCAGACCAAACCAGGAGCTGGGAGCTTCTTCCAGTTCTTGGGCTATTTTCTGCTTTCCCAGGACATCAGCAGGGAGCTGGATTGGAAGTGGAGCAGCTGGGTCTCGAACCGGTGCCCATATGGGATACTAGCGCTGAAGTCTGGGGCTTTACTGGCTGCTACACACTATAGAAATGTGGACATTTTTGTACTTTCTAGCCCAAGCTGACAGTGTTTCTGATAATACAATTCTATTAAACTTTTGAGGTTCAGTCCATGAGATAAAAACCATATGCACAGATTGCTTTTGCTGAAAGACAAAGACTTTTTAGAAGCTGTATTATTTAAAAAAGAATGTGTGAGGCATGTGCTTAAAACATGGAGTCTTGTGTCTTATATAACAGAACTCTCAGGCACCACCCTTAAACAGTACTGGGATGAAAGCCACTAAAGCAAAGAAACAGAAGTGGCCTATGTCCCTGCAACGTTGGCTCCATACTGTCAGCCCCAAACTTCCTCTCAACCTCTTGAATGTGAGAGAGAAATAACACTCATCTGGGCTGGCTGCTTTTACTTGGGGATTTCCCGAGTGGGTAAAGTAGCCTAATCCTAACTAATATAGCTTTGGAGCTCTTGGGGGTGGTCGGAACCAATACGTACATAACTAGATAACTCATGAATGAATCTAGTACTCAAAACTGTGACTGTCCAGGATTGATTAAGCATCCATAGTCTGTTCACCAGCACACAAACTGAGCCCATGGTTGTATTTATTCATTTGAGGGTGACACTGTATGAATAAGTGGAAAATGAACTGACTCCTTTAATAGAGGTGAAATAAGAGGTGAGGGGTGCTGGCACTGTGGCGCAGGAGGATAATCCTCTACCTGCGGTACCAGCATCCCATATGGGTGCCAGTTCAAGTCCTGGTTGCTCCTCTTCTGATCCAGCACTCTGCTATGGCCTGGGAAAACAGTAGAAGATGGGTCAAGTCCTTGGACCCCTGCACCCATGTGAGAGACCCAGAAGAAGCTCTTGGATCCTGGCTTTGGATTGGCGCAGCTCCAGCCATTGTGGCCATTGGGGAGTGAACCAGCGGGTGAAAGACCATTCTCTCTGTCTCTACCTCTCCCTGTCTGCAACTCTACCTCTCAAATAAATAAATCAAATAATAATAATAAAAAAAGAGGTGAGGAGTTGGAGATGGAAGGCAGGTTGGGAATGTTTGCAAAAATGAAGGACAAACCTGATATGATCATCTCAATAGATACAGAAAAAGTATTTGAAAAATTCAACATCCTTTAAAAAATATATATGTTTCTATTTATTTATCTGAGAGGTAGAGTTACAGACACAGAGAGGGAGTGACAGAGAGAAGGTTTTCCCTTTGGCAATTCACTCCCCAAATGGCCCCAATGGCCGGAGCTGAGCCAATCTGAAGCCAGGAGCTAGGAGCTTCTTCCAAGTCTCCCACATGGGTACAAGGGCCCTAGCACTTGGACTATCTTCCATTTCTTTCCCAGGCATTAGCAGAGAGCTGGATTTGAAGAGGAGCAGCTGGGACATGAACAAGTGCCCATATGGGTTGTTGGCACTGCAGGCAGATACTTAGCCTACTGTGCCACAGTGCCAGGCCTCAATATCCTTTCATGATGAAAATGCTCAACAAATTAGACAGGGAAGGAATGCGTCTCAACACACTAAAGGCCATATTTGACAATTCCACAGATAACATCATTCCCAGTAGTGGAAGATTGAAGCCTTTCTTCTAAGATCAGGAATATGACAAGAATGCTTATTTCTACCACTTCTTTTCAACATCATACTGCAAGTTCTAGTCAGAGAAATTATACAAGAAAGAAAAGCCATCTTAATAGAAAAGGAAGAAGTGAAATGGTCTCTGTGCTCATGACACAATGTTATATGTAGAAAATCATCAAGAATCCATCAAAAAACTGTCAGACTATTAGGATTCAATTAGGTTGCTGATACAAAGCTAAGGTGCACAAACATCAACAGCACTCCTTTCTCTACATTAACTATGAGTTGTCAATAAAGGAATTAAGAAATTTCATTTACAATAACAGAAAAGGGTCTGAAAGATTTGTGTACTAACAGTTATAAAACAGGGGTACAGGCATTCAGCATAGTCAAGACACCACTCGAAATGCTTGCATTCCATATTGAAGTGCCTAGTTCAAATCCCAGCTCCTCTCTTGGTTCCAGCTTCCTGCTAACATGCACCCTGAGAAGGCACAGTGATGGCTCAAGTAGTTGGGTCCCTGCCATTCATGTACCAGATTGAGTTCCTGGTTCCTGGCTTCAGCCTGGGCCAGCGCTGGCTGTTGTGGGCATTTGGGGAGTGAACCAGTGGATAGGAGATGTATATCTATCTATCTATCTCTGTCTCTGCCCACCCCCACTCTCTCTGCCTTTCAAATAAATTTTAAACATTTAAAAATAAAATTAAAAACTCTGATGAAATAAACTTAAGAAAGTGTAAATTAATGCAAATATATCCTCTGTTCATGAATTGGAAGAACTGATATTGTTAAAATGTCCATGCTACCTACAATGATCTACACATTCACAGCTATTGCTATGAATGTTTCAATGTCATTTTTCATAGAAAGGTGGAATGTGGAGAAGAGGGAACCCTTGCACACCACTGGTGGGAATGTAAGCTGGTACAGCCACTGTGGAAAATAGCGCATAAATGCCTTTAAAAAGTAACAATAGAATTACCATATGATCCAGCAATCCTATTTCTGAGTGTATATCCAAAGGAAATGAAGTCAGTATGTTGAAGAGATGCCTGCATCCCTCATTTTCATTATAGCATTGTTCACAATAACCAAGATAGGGAGTCAAGTGTTCATCAGTGGATGAAGGGATAAAGAAAATGTGGTGTATATATATACACACATACACACACACACACAATATAGACAATACACACACTAGAATACCATTCAGCCTTGAAAAAGAAAATCCTGTATTATGACAACATGAAAGAACTTGGAGGACATTATGCTAAATAAAATAAGCCAAACACAGGAAAACAAATAGTTCATAATCTCACTTATATGTGGAATCCTAAAACATCAAACTCACAGAAGTAGACAGAAGAGAGATTAGCAGAGGCTTGGGGCTGGCATGGGGAGATGCTGTTCCAAAGGTGCAGTCTCTGCTGCTGATTTCGGCTTCCTCCTAGCACAAACGCGGGGAGGCTGTCAGCTTGCTCTCACCTGCCCCCTTGTGGGGATTTGAATTTGGCGCGTGCATCGCAGATGGCGCTTGAGTTCTCTCTTCCGGCCTCTCCGCTGTACCCCCCACCCCCGGGTGGGGGGGGGATAATGTCTACAAAACGGGGTTGGGTTGGTTAAAGTTACACATGAACACAATCACGAAGGCTATTATACATTATAACATCCTTTAAGCACTACATAGACATTTTTTATTTCTCACAACTCTTAATGAGATAATTGAGACTGCAAAAGCACAGTTTGCTCAACTGCACCTAACGAATAGTCAGGACTTGAATGGTGACCTCTGCGGGTCACTGCAAGTAATTCACGGAGCGCTCAGACTGGATTATTCATACGAACACATGCAAAGAAACGACACTTTAAACCATGGGCTTTGGGGGGAAAACATTTTCAAAACACTCTTTACTGGATAGAGCCTTTACAAATCGAGTTTAGCAAGCTCTAAAACGTGTCCAGTTGCACCAGAATTGGATTTATATAACGTTTGTGGGGGCAAAATCCCCAGGGAAAGCCAGGGAAAACCGCGTGGATTCTTTTCTTTTGCCAATATCATTTCTACTGCAAGACGCAGGAAAAGCTGATAAAAAAGCGAACAAAAACCAAGGCAGCGTTAGTACCCCCGAAAGGCGGCCTGCGACCAAATGCAGCAGAGTAGTGGGCCAAGTGGTCTTGGTGCTGCAGTGCAACACCGACGAGCAGAAACCCACGTGAAATGTTTTCAAAACATGAGTGGAAGACAAAATTGAGAACGAACAGAGCTGCACGAAGAGCGGGGAGGAGGGCGCGAACCCAAGCTGGGCTTCGGCCGCCGCTGGGTCTAGCGCCCGCCGCGCCGGCCACGTGAGGTCACGGCCTTTATGAGGTGGGGCGGGGTGGGGCAGCCGGGCGCGGCCGCAGCGCTCTCCAGCCCTAGCGGAGGCCGCGGTGAGCTCGGCCGCTGCCCGCCGCTCAGAACCCGGGCGGTCCTGCAAGCAGCCCGGGTCCTCTGCCCGCCCTACACCTGATGCCGCTCGTGGGCGGAGCGTCGGGCCAGGTCAGCTGACCGCGGGGGCGGGGCCACGCCGCGCGGGAGTCCGGGCAGGCGGCAGAGCGAGAGCGGCAGGCCTGAGGGGCTCAGGGGGTCACTCAGGACCGTGAGGGTGGGAGCCACAGCTCTATGGGCTCAGGGGTCCGGAAGTGGGGCAGCGGTGGGGCGGCGAGACCTGCCGAGGGGAGGGGAAGGAAGCGCTTCCAATGCCGAGGACAGAGAACGCGATACGGTAGTTTCAGAGCAGGGTGAGGAAGGTTCCAGAAAGGAACAAGGAGGTGACTGAGGGGAAAGTCGGAGGGGCAGAATGAGAGGTGACCTGGACGGGCCAGGCGGTCCCTCAGAAACTGGTGGCGGGGAGGCGTCGGCTCCGTGGGCGTAGGTGTCTGCCGCAGCGCTTCTTGCCCGCGAGCTGACTTGCCTCCCTCGGAAACCGCGGGCTTCATAAAGGCAGGACCTGCGGGACTCCTCCGCGCCGAAGTTTCATTTCGGTTCTTTTTCTTTACTTTCCTTTTCCCTCTCTTTTTTTCCTCCCTCCTCCTCCCTCTCTTTAGAGAGCCCCTCCATCTGCTGGTTCACTCTCCAGCTGGCTAAAATGGCTGGCAGAGTCAGGAGCCTCCTAGGAGCTCGTTCCAGGTCTCTCACTGGATGGCAGGGACCCAACTACTTGAGCCATCTTCTGTTGCTTTCCCCAGGCCATTAGTAGGGGTGCAGTAGCGAGCCTTGAACTGGCGCCCATATGGGATGCTGGCATTGGGGGCAGCTCTACCATGCAGTGCCAGCCCCTCAAGTTTTGAGGTGGACGGTGGCTTAATATTTTCTAAGCAAACATAAATGGGGAGGATTCATGTTTGAACCTTCATTAATGGCAGCAGATGCAGGCAAGTTGTGTATGCAGTTGCCATTTAATGGACAGTTTCGGTCCGATGGAGAGAGAAGGAAGGAGAAATTCTCTTTGGCGGGATGTCTACATGGTCACCCTCGGGGAACAATGACTTTTTCTCATCTTCAACTTCCATGATCCCAAATCCTTTCAGTTACTACCTCATTTCTCTATTTCTCTTTCGCCATCGTTCCTTGAAAGAGTCCATTCTACTGACTGTTTCTGATTTTGTTCCCTCTTTCTTATATGCACTCTGAGGACGTTATCTTCTTCCCATAGCAGCCAGTGGCTCCTCTCAAAGTTGACAGTGTCCTCTGGTGGCAGAACCTGATGAGTCTGTCCATACTTCCCTTACTGGACCTCACAGGAGCATTTACCAGTTAGTGACTCACTTCTGTTGAATTATTTTCTTCACCTGGCTTCCAAGAACCCTGGCCCATCTGATTTTCCTCCTCACAATAATCAGAGTGATCTTTCCAGAAAGGACTTCGGTCCATGTCACGCCTCTGCTTCCCACCCTGAAAAGTGACAGCCAGGGTTCTTACTAGTACTAGGGCTCTCCAGAATGAGCCTAATCTCTTATAATGGTCCCCTAATCTCTTTCCCAATGAGGCTTCAGCCTCTTTGTCTTCCCACTGTTCCTTGAACATCAGCCTCTTTGGTTCAGGGTCTTTGTATTTGCTCTAATTTCTGCCTGAAATGCTCTTCCCTAAAATATTCATCAGCTTCCCATTTCAGTTCTTTCAGATCTGCCCTCAGAAGTCTCAGGTCTTCCTTGGCCAAACTTTCTATTCCTTATTCCCTGAATCTCTTCCTCTAGACCACACTTTATATCCCCCCCCTTGTTTTTTTTTTTTTTTTTTTTTTTTTT